TCATTTCAATTATCTTTGCTGACTAAATATATTAGGACTTATGATAATCTAGAACAACAAAACTAGGAGATCTTGATTGTTTTTGTCAACATATTTCCTGACTATTTGTTTTGAGCTAATAGTGATGTATCCTTACTAAAATCTAGATTGTTGTTACTTGAGCAAAATATCTTAAAGCTTATAGATCAACCTCAATTGAAATTTTTTTATGATTGAGAGAGATAATTAATTATAGGGGCTTGCACTTATTATAAATCTTTTATTAAATCATATTGTCCTTTCAAGTGGGGGAAATCTATTGATAGTATCCAAGTTATTATCCAATTTGTCTTTTATCCAAAATCACTCAAATATTCAATAAAGCTCATCTTGATTTTTCGAGCCCATACTTTTATGGACAGATTGTTTTGTATGGAAGTAGGTTAAAGTAAAGGGCACATGCTCCGAAGATATTACTTTTTTTTAGTAGTAGATCGAGTGAAGAAAATCTTAAGCTGCCTTAGTTATCCCTTGATTATGATTGTGGAAAAAGGTTTTAGTCATTAAGAGGTGATTGAGATGACTCTATTGAGGGAGTTGGAGAAACTGGGTTTTGCTTAGATCATGGTCAGGGTTGGGCAAGGATTGTGGTGGAAGGTTGACCATGGATGAGCATAAATTGTAGGGCTACATGGGATTAAGTGATGGGGCTAGATAAGGATTTTAAATGAGTTCATGAAACAAGTCAAGAAGTGAGCAAATGCTAGGAGAGACACTATCATGTTTGAAGGTGTGTTGGAGTAGAATCATGGATTTGCAAATATTATAAGGCCGAAATGCATATTTCAAGAGTGAGATGAGGTGGTGAAGTTGCATATTGACTGCAAATGAGCTTATGAATCAAGTTGATGGAGCCAATGCAAGGTGAGCACTAAGATTACAGATTGTGGAGATTATAATTTGTGGATTTTTGTGTGTAATATGTTTTGAGGGTGATTTTGATTGCTGTTAGAGCAATGTACGGTCACAAACATTAAGGAAGATGGATCTGAGCTTGAGTATGAGTTTATGGGCTTGAAGGTAGTGATATGGGAGGTGCAAGGACTTGATGGATGAAGAAGATAGTGTGTGTTTTCTTTTTTGGCTGTGATAAAGGTTACTAAGGTGATTAGGATTAGCCATATTTCATTACCTAGTTAAGGAGAAGATATTATGTGTATAATATTGTAGAAATTTTTCTCATTTTTGGCATGGGAATGAATATAATGTATTGAAGTACATCCAAAAAACATTATTTGTTGACATTAAAAAAAA